ACTGGCCCTTGAAAGGGAAGCTAACTGCAAGCAAGCTGAGTGTGAAGTTTGCCATATTGCACAAAATTAGTGCAGCTAATTGGGTTCCCACCAACCACAAATCCACCATCTCCACTGGTTTGGGAAGATTTATCTATGCTGTTGGAACCAGAACAAACTTTGATTATGGCAACTACATCTTTGATCAAACAATGAAACATGTTGAGAGTTGTGCTATTAAAGGCCCAATTGCTTTTCCCTCTCTCCTGTGTGGTATAATCATTGATCAGTATCCTGATATTCTGGTTGAAAAGGACTCTGTATGCAAAAGAGCCCTTGCACTTGGTTTTAACTATAAGCTGTTTCAGAGAACACATGTCCCTGACATTGTTATGACATCTGCTGAGACATCAAATGTCAAAGCTCATTCCAAGACAGTTGATGTTATAGTTGTTCTAAAAGAAACCTGCAGAGAGCTTGATGCAAGAAAAAGGACTCTTGAAGAGCTGATTACTAGTCTAGAAAAGGAGGAGAATGAAGAACAAATGAGGGAAGAGGATGTTGATGAAGAACAGCATGATGGTTCTGCAAGAAGCTCACCAGAAGATGCTGCTGAAAATAGTGCTTCCTCAGGGGATGAAAGTACCTGAAGGTCTGTGTTTGTTGAGTTGTAAAGATTGATGCTGGAACTTGTTGCTGCTATTTGATACCTTCTCTCTGTTTCTGTGTATTTTGGATTTCCTTTTGATGACTGTATAACTTGAAGTACTAGATCCTTTGGCCTCTTTATGGCTAAAAAGGGGGAGAAGTAATTGTGGTAATTTTGGTAGAATTGGATATTGGTAGTTAGATTAGCTGTTATTAAAAATTATGTTGCATTCTAATCTCTGATTGTTTAGGGGTTTTAGCCAAAAATTTGCCAAAGGGGGAGTTTGTAAGTGTTTGCTTGTTGGCATTAATTTTTGGTAAAACCAGATTTGCGAATGTCATGACTGATGTCATAACATTCTGGGATAAAGACAAATTCTGCAGAAGGAATGTTCTACAGAAACAACTCAGTATGAGTGAATATCATGATGATTAAGCTATGATCACATGTACTGAATTCTACTAAAATCAGTGAGCAGGATACATGATGTCATAACCAATGTTAAGACATCCTGTACTGATCAAGTTGTTGTGCAGATTTATTGTTCCTGAGAATTTTCAGGAACCTGGTGTGCTATTCTGAGTTGAAGTATATTGACTAGATCAGATGCTCACGTGGATATTAGGTTAACCTTGCTTAACCCTAATCTGTTATGATGAAAGCCCAAGACCAAGTCTTTAGGTTAACTTTGGTTAACCCTAGCTATTTTTATGGAAGCCCAAAATGAAGAATAGATTGCATACATATTTCTCACGAATCCTAATGGTGTGCAGCGCTTTTAGAGAAGATCAATAAGGCATTTTGTAGTTTTAGTAATTACTGTGAGCCAGGCAATTATCACTTGATAAGTGACTTGGAGTAGGATTTGGTTGTAAGGGTTGTTTATCACTCAAAGCTTTGAAGCACGAGTGTTGTGTCTCTTGATTAAAGCTTTGAAGCAAAATCAAGCGTGTGTATTGAAGAATGTCTTTATAATCTTATTAATCAGTAGATTAGTATCACTGCTGTGATTGAGGGGGAGTGAGTAGGAACTCAGGTTTAAGTAGGACTTAGATTGAAGTTTCATTGAGTAGGTCTTAAGTGAAGGAGATAAACTGGTTGGTTTATTCCTAAATTAATACCTCTTATAGTGAATTTCCTCCCTGGCTTGGTAGCCCCCAGATGTAGGTGTTGTTATACACTGAACTGGGTTAACAATTGATTGTGTTCTTTACTGTCTTTTAAATTACTGTTTGGTTTGTGTACAATTTGTCAGATACGGTGTCATAACATTCACTGTGACATTAAGTATCTGTTGCCAGAATTTCAAAATGAATTGCAAATGTTAATTACAATGCTGAATCAGAATTATAACTTTATATATATATATATATATATATATATATATATATATATATATATATATATATATATATATATATATATATATATATATATATATATATATATATATATATATATATATATATATATATATATATATATATATATATAATACACAGGAGTTTAATCTATTTATTATTATGCTTTATATAATTTTATTATTAAAGAAATAAAATACTTCACACAATGGGAAATGATTTGTTATCTTTAATACTATTACTAAGAATCGATGAGTAGATAAATTAATAAAACAATATATTGAAATAAGAAAGAATTGTTAGTTAGAAAAATATAAGAACAAGAGTATCAAAGACATGAGACTCAAAGGTAATCAATCCTTACCCAACACAACACAATTGTGAATATTAATCTCATTAGGTAAACAAGATTTATATCATTGATTCGCTTAAAGAGTTGATCTCTCACAATGTATGATTTTTCCATAAACACATATCAATATTGAAATCTTTGACCAAATTGGTAAAAGAGTAAACCATTTACCCTTTGTGTCATTGTCATACCATGTTGGTTACTCAAGCATTAATTTGAAGTGGCCAAATCTATTACAATTGTAGCACTGAACCTTTCTCTCCCTGTTGAACATTCTTATGTTTCTTCTCTTCTAAAGAAGAAGAAGAAGGTTCTGACTTTTGAACATTATTTTTCTTGTTCTCTATCCATGCTTGCTTCTTGTTCTTCTTATCAAAAGAAGCCTTCAGAGCCTATTCTAACTCCCTTTTAGAGTTCTTTTCAGTCAAACGCAACTCTTGTGCCTCTAGGCTATTGTAAGTTCTTTAATTCTAATGGTGCTAGTGTCTTTAGAATGTTCTATGGATACAACTATGTAATCAAACTGAGGAGTAACAGATCTGAATACCATTTTAATGCTTACTTGTTCAAAGTGCATTTCTCCACAAGCCTTCATCTTATTTGTGATCACATCCACTATAGATATATAATCTTGTACCTTCTCATTGTTCTTCATACTAAGATTCTCGCATTACTTGTGTAGGGACTGCAACTTCACCTTCTTCACGGATGCGTCACCACCATAGCACTGCATAAGTGTATCTCATGTCGCTTTTGTTGTCATTGCGTTGGCACTCTTCTAAAAAACCTTCATATCCACATACTGACAGATATATAACAAAGCCTTTTGATCCTTCTTTCTCGTATCACGTTACACGTTTCTTTGCGCTTCTGTTGCATCTTCTGCAACTAGCGTGTAACCGTCATTGGAAAGATCAAGAACATCTTAGCTCCAAACAACACATGCGTCTGAATCGACCACTAATTCCAATTCTTTCTGTCGAATACATGAAACTTTGTGTTCAAGCTATCTTTTCCGCTATTCATCTTCGTTCTTGTGCAAATCACTCAAATCTCATAAAACGCTCGTGTTTCCCAACCCTAAGAATCAAGAAATGTGATTCTTCTCTGATTTCGATCTTCAATTCAGTGTGAATTTGAGGAACAAATTCAATCACACGCCTCATGTACGCTCGTGTTTCCCGTGAATTAGAATCAGAGTTTTGAATACTAATTTATTGGAGTTTACACCTCCATTGACGCACAAGAAGATGAAGACGAAAGAAAAGTTTCGAAAAGAGAAGAGAGAAAAAATGTAACAAACTTTTTTAACTAACTTCTCAAAATTTAAAATGAAACAAATTAATACACAATTACAATTTCTTCATTCTTTTATGCACCACAAAATACTAAGAAAATAAAATGCAAACTCAAATGAATTGCAAATATTAATTACAATGCTGAATTTGAATTACAACTATATATATATATATATATATATATATATATATATATATATATATATATATATATATATATATATATATATATATATATATATATATATATATATATATATATATGAGTTTGATCTATTTATTATTATGCTTTATGTAATTTAATTATTAAAGAAATAAAATACTTCACATAATGGGAAATGATTTATTATCTTTTCTGCGGAATGACTTTGATATCTTTAATACTATTACTAAGAATTGATGAGTAGATAAATTAATAAAACAATATATTTAAATAAGAAAGAATTGTTAGTTAGAAAAATATAAGAACAAGAGTATCAAAGACATGAGACTCAAAGGTAATCAATCCTTACCCAACACAACACAATTGTGAATATTAATCTCACTAGGTCAACAAGATTTATATCATTGATTCGCTTAAAGAGTTGATCTCTCACAATGTATGGTTTTTCCATAAACACATATCAATATTGGAATCTTTGACCAAATTGCTAAAAGAGTAAACCATCTACCCCTTGTGTCATTGTCATACCATGTTGGTTATTCAAGCATTAATTTGTTTACTATAGTTTTAACCATAATTAATTTACTCCACCTACCATAAAATCAAACACACATTTAGTCACTAATTATTATTATTTTCCAATTAAAAATTAGAAATCAAGATTATAGAGGAAACAATAATTGTTATGATAGGACAACAAATTTTTATATCAAAAGGTTCTTCATATGAATGGGTCCAATGTATGATACAAAACTCCAAATTCATATCAAAATGATTTTCATTTAGTTCATCATGTCCTCTTTCTTTTCACACACGTACACGTATATACATTTAAGATTAGGATATCATCCAAATCAATTTATTTCAATACATATAATTGGAATCAAACAATAGCACCACACAAACATACAAAAACAATAAAAACATTCCAATCATAGGACAGTTTGGACGTTCAACCGCTCTTACAAATTACTCTTGGCAAGCGAGACCATCACAAAAAACCACCCCTTCAAAACAAACTTTCACACCATATTTTAACACACTTCTTTCTACATAATAAAACTTATATAAACCTCATTAAATTATGCAATTACGCATAAATTTAATGAATTTGTATAAATTTTATTTTACGAGAGTGTGTATTGTAAAATATTCACTGAAGAGATTTTGCATTAACGTAATTGAGACATTAATATTCTTAACACTCTGGGATAAGATTGTGGTTTCTTCTAGGATCATGACAATAATTATAGATCATGTAATTGTTTTGGACCCATTGCATTGCCCTATATTGTTGAGGGCTAAGGCTACCATACCCAGCAGAGACAGAGGGTGATTGACATGAGGCAGGGCTTTCAATGGTACAACCTTGTAATTTGAAGTTAGTGTATCTTCCAACAAAGGGTTGGAATTTATAATCTGCTTTGTATTTTCCACCTTCAGTTGCCCAAGTAGATGCATCCCAAATTGATCCGTACAAATACATTGGTCTTGAAGGGTAGGTGGCATCAATTTTCCTAGGATATCTTCTTATAGGAACATCATCCACTAAAAATCTGCATAGGTTGTTTTTTCCATTATAAGACAAACTAGTTAGTAACCAACCAAAACTAGATCTATAAGCAAGATTATAATCAATTGTATTAATGATTACTGCAAGTGAAAAATCGTATCATCCCCAATTGTAGAAATGAATATAGTAAGGAATTTCTACAAGCATAGTGACCAGAAATTTTGGGTTCGATTCAATCCATAATTTATTTTAAAAATATTTAAAAAATAATGATTAAATTATACTCCTTTTGTTTTAAAATTAGTGTTATATTTTCACAAAGATTAGAAAAATATAATTAATAAAAATGATAAACTTAATTTTACCAAGTTATAATCATCAATAATACAACATTAGAAAATAATAAAAATAAAATAGAGTTAAATATGTTTTTTATCCTTATAAATATTTCAAATTTCATTTTTAATCCCTATTAAAAAAATGACAAATTTTAGTCTCTAAAATTTTTTTGTCCATACACTTTTAGTTTCTGTTATTTTCTAAAATTTTAAAAATTGTTTAATTACCTTTAAATTTTTAAATTTTTTAATAATATTTTTCATACATGTTTAGAATATTATAAAATGTTTCTTTATTAAATTTTAGAATTTTTAAAAATGAGAAGAATTAAATATGATTTTTTTAAATTTCAAAAGATATTGATAAAAATAATGAAAATCTCGAAATCAAATTTTGAATTTTTTTTTTCAAAGAACTTTTTATAACGTTCTGAACATGTCTATAAAATAATCATTCAAAAATATACATTGGTTTAACAAAAGGGACTAAAACTATGTGCATAATAATTTTATAGAGACTAAAACTTGTCATTATTTTAATAAGGACTAAAAATGAAATTTAAAATATTTATAGGAACCAAAAACATATTTAACCCAATGAAATATTATCAATAATATTAAAATTACAATTGGATTGAAAATTTGTTCAAACAAAATTGTTTTGAAAATTAAAAATGATACATATTTTAAAACAAATATTTTTTTAAACATGACAATTATTATGAAATCGAGGAAATACTATTTTAGATTTTCTTTATTCTTTTATGTCATTTTTTTCTTCTCTTATATCTCCTTTTTCTTTCCAATTACACCCTTCACTTTCTCTCTATTTATTTTACTTTCCTTTCTATTTTTTTCTCTGTTTCTCTACTACTTTTGTTTGTTATAAACAACTCTTTCAACAACTCAAACAAATTGATAAAGAAATTATTTATTAGTTGAATGAGGAAATAATTTTTATATATCATACATATAATTGTGAACAAAATGGTCTTTTCAACTGAAATATTGTGACAAAGACAGACATAAACATGACAAATAATTACTGATGTTGATGAAAACGAGTGAAAAATAATACTCACATTATTTCATTGGGTTTCCATAGAATAGCATAGTTGTGAAAATTTTGAGTTGGGTCAAACCAAAGATGAAACTGCATCTCTCTTCCTATAATGTTCCCATCTCCACTTCCTCTCATATATACATTTGTTTGTAACACATATGGCTTACCTGGTGTTGTGCCAAGAAACTCAATGTCAATTTCGTCATGGTTTCCTGGATGATCTTGATTATTTGATAGCTGCCAATTTCAAAGTAAAAGTTATTGGTGATAATTCGATGTTATAAAGTCAAACTCTAACGACTGAAGTGACATGTCAGAGACATTATTCTAGCTTACATATAGACAAGTAATAACTCCGGCTGTGTATCCAGGTTGAAGCTTAATTGCAGCACCAAAGTATCCGGATTTATAGGAGTGAAGTGACTTGAATCCACTACCTATGTTATCAATATTGTATCAGATAAAGTTCAAAGCAGACAATACCTCGTAGTCGCAGTGCAGCAGTGCAGAAGAGATGAAGTTGAAACAAAGACAAGTTTGTTTATTAATTGACGTACCTGAGTTGGAGTCAAGCCATATTGTTAATGAGTTTTGGTCCAATCTTTGATGTTGAGGTCCCCAAAGGTTTCTAAAGCCTTGACTAAAGGTGATTGGACTAATTTTGGAGCTAGGGTAGTAGCCAGGTGAAGGTGGACCCTGAGCATTAGAACAAAGAATTGTGAGTGATAGTGCAAGAAAAGTGAAGAGAATAGAGGATGATGGCATTGTTGTAAACAAGAGGAATACTCTGTTTAAAATGCAGGGGAGGGGCAGAGGATAAGAGTTAGTTGTTTCATGTTAAGAGTTGGATATATAAAAGGATTTTGTGGCCCTACATAACGAAAAAGATGGTAAGTTAGTTGATTAGAAGTTACACACTTGTACAAAACCTATCCTTAGTAGTCTAATGTTAAATCTAGATATATATTTATACGGTGTAATTTTATTTTTATTTTATAAGTCGGTTTTATAAAATTGTGTTACTTTTTGCTTTTATTTTCTTCAAGGGAAGAAACTTTCTTTTTCTATGTAAATACTGGTTTTGGTAAAGTTAATATATATTACTTTGATGGTTATAAACATGAAGGAGGAATGATGTTGATTTGGTAAGTTATGACGATTTCACATTAGAGGACAAAGGGATAAATTTAGATATATAGATATGTATGGTTGGCCTTCCAAATCTTAGAGCATTATTATTATTATTATTAACACGGATTTGGATAGAAGTATATATTGAAGAGAAAAACGTGAGGAACTACATGTATCTAGATGTTTTTCATTGGGAAATGTGTTAGGAGAGGATATCTTTGTGATGATGAGAACTTTCTTGTGGTGCCTTCTTCTATTCAATTTCTTTATGTAAATGTGGCTCAAGAGTGTTATTTTTAATGTGGTAAAGTGCATGTGATCCGTTGAATAGGTCTATTTTCATTGTATATTTTTATTGGATCATCTAATGTATCTGTTTTATTCTGTTTTTTTTTTTTATAGTTTTTACGGACGTGAATATTAACATAAAATTTTATATTTTAAATAAAAAAATTCAGATTTTTTAATTTTTGCGGATGTAAATATTAACATAAAATTTTATATTTTTAAGTAAAAAAACTCAGGTTTTTTAGTCATATCCTGTCCTTAATTTTTTTTCAAGACAAGGAAAGGTTTTTGGTTTTTATCCTCAATTATATTTATCTCTCTTTGCTTCAGTTTTTTTTGCATATTTTTACAAGCGAAACTAAATGAGACAAACATATTTGTTTATTATTATATTAAAATTTTAATTATCTATCAGTCCGTTTAAATTGACTTGTATAAATTTATTTATTGACATTAATTTTATGTACGGTTTGTTAAACATAACTTAAATAATTTATGATATTTTTTATAATTTTTTTAAACATATTTTTTGAATTTATGTTTATAAATTCTTCAAAATAATTTATGAGAATAGTTTATATAAATTTATAAACATTGATTGAGCTTCTATAAATATGTTATGCCAACACATTCTAGACAATTTTTTTAAATAAAAACCTAAAGCTTTAAGTTGGAGGACTAAGAAGATGTATAGTATGTAAAAAGAAAAAAAAAAGTCTAAATAGTCTTTTGATTATTGTAAGTTGACAAATTTTTAATTTTGGTCTTTAATATCAATAGTTGCCTCGAAATTTTAATATATGAAAATTGTACTAGATCAGAATTTCTATGATTTCATCTCAACATGCAATTGTCTCATAAGTGTTTAAGCACTGCCTCATAAGTGTGGCTATATAACAACAAACAACTGTAAAAGGAGTCATCACCAACATGTTCGTCCAACCAGTTAGTATCCATAAGTGTTTGTGAAGTGAGGTACTCATGTATGTTTTAGGTTCTACATATTGAAGATTTTGAAGGGAATCAAAAGAAGTCGATGAAGCTTTAATGAAAGATGATGGTGAAGATTTTAAGAGAAAGAGTGCGCCAACCTATACGGGCGAAAAAACTATTTAATCTAAAATTATGAATTTGTGTTCATATCTTCATACTCAACCTTCATACAAACTTTGAATTTTTTTAAACCCAAAATTATTCCTTGTTTTCCCTTTTTATGTCAATTTTGCTTGTTTGAATGAAAATTTCACACGTGTTATTATTTGTTGCTTAAAAATGATTTCTCACACTTCAATCAAGATCAAGACTACTATTATACAACAAAAATCCACCATCAATTATATTAGATGATGAAGCTTGCAAACACATCTCCATCATAAAAAATAACAGTATAGTTAAATGAAATGGAATAAAGTTATCAACAGAGAATTTGGAATGGAATAAAGTTACCAACTAAAGAAGTAGCCATCAATGAATGGGCAGAGGAAGAAAAAGAATATTAATTAGAGGAGAAGAAGAAGAAGAAGAAATTCAAATTGAAAAACCATTTCATATTTAGATTTAGTCCTCCTTCTTATAACCCTTAACTTGATATTCCATGTAATTAATTAGTGTCAGAAGAAAAAATAATAAAATAATTGTCAAGTTAGCAATGTTAGCCACCTAAGCTTTTTTTAATAGAACTTTGATATCAGGGACTAACTCCAACAAGAAAGTAAAATAAAAGGACCCAATAAAAAAATTCAGGGACCAAAATCAAAAACTTGTCAACTTACACGGAATAAAAAAAACTTTTTAAGCTAAAAAAATTATTTAATTTTTAAAATAAATTTGAATATTGTTATTTATTTAGAGACTAATTTTCAAAAATAATTATGATTTAGTTGAGAGATTTACATTTCTTATAAAACATTTCATATAAGGTGTCTGTTTAGGGAAATTTTTTCCATCCTTAGGGTGTGACTCACACCAATGAAAACCCGAAATTATTTTTAGGTTCATCTGGTGATGCATCTTCAGATGCACCTTAAATCGCTACATCTTTCGTAAATCAAACATCCACCCCAATTTTTCCAAAAAGTAGTCCGGAGATGCATCTCCAAAAATTTCTAGGGTGAATTCAGAGATGCATCTCCGGAAATACCCTTGAACCCATTTATTATGGGTTTTTCATTGAGTTAGTTTATTTAACTATTTAGTGATATATTAGGAGATGCATCTCTAGAAATTTCAAACGGGAAATTGAGTATATCACCACCTTTCATGATCATCTCTCCCACGCTCTATAACCCAAAACCATTAAAAAATTCATTCTCAATCAAATTTTTTACTCCAAATCATCATTCTTGTGTTTTATAACATCAAAGGGAGAAAAAGAAGCTGCAATTTAAGGTAAAGTTCACTAATTTCATTCCTTATTGGTTGCATTAATCTTGTTCTTGATCTGAAAAATGTATGTGTGATATAGTGGCAGAACTGACTGTTTTGTTTAGTTACTACTGGTTTTTGCATTTTTTGTTCGCAAATGTCGCGGTAAACAAGAGTCGCCGCCGTCTTTTATTTTATCCAACAAAGGAAAAGGGAAAAAGAACAGAAAAACATTTTTCGAGATGTTTCTGAGTACAGGGGATAGATTATAGAAAGGGAAGGTGTTAGCACCCTTTCTATCTATGGTTTTCCATGGGCTCTTAGGTACTTGCTCATTTTTAAATTGCTTTTATGTGTGTTTTGAAAAAAGCTTTGAAAATGCCTTAGTTTGGCGTTTCACTTTATAGTAACCCTTGCGTCAGTCCTTAAGAGTGTGATAAAGTGTTTTTGAAAACTTTAGTTGAAAAGAGTGTGAAAGTGTAAATGTGAAAAATTGATTGTTTTGAGCAAGTCTTAAAAGTTTCTACCTACTCGAAAAAGACTGTTCGTTTTTTTATTTCCTTTAGACAGTACTATCCTACTATTAAGGAGTAGGTAGCTCCATCGTTGGAGTTTGAGGGACAATCGAAAGGGACGATTAAGGTCACTTAAGGCAACAGGGCAAGATCTCTTAGTAATTGTCCTAAAACTCTAAGATCACTTTTTTTACCGAGGCAACGTCGAAGGACTAGTGATCTTTCGAATTAGAGGACAGCCACTAAAAATTCTCACATTTCGAGAATAGTGACTGTATTTTTCCGAAGGCAACCGAAGTGGGGAAAAACCCTAGGAGTGTGCATGTGCAAGTGTTTGTTTTCAGTTTATTTAATCTTTGCACATTTAGGGTTTTCTATTGTTTTAAATATTGGTCTTTTGCATACAATCCTATTATCAATCATCTAACAGTTTAATTAATAGCAGAAAATAAAGTGCAAGAAATATAAACATAGCTATTACAAGGCCTTGGGGAGGGGATTACATAACCAAAAACTTGGGAAAAACAGTAAATGAAAATAGTAATAGACCTAAGTTAAAAGCTATTACAAACTCGAAACAAATACATTAATTTAAAAAATAAATAAATAAATGCGCGCGAGAATAAATTAAACGAGGAATTAAAGTTAAATTCAAAGATATTTAATTTAGTGAATAAAGAAAAAATATTTTTTTGGATTTTGTGAGAAAGTAATTAATTTCGCAAATTAACCTAATTTCTAATTAATTTTAATTATGAAAAAGGAATTTAAATTATCCTAATTAATTAATGAAATTAAATATTTTATAAAAAAAACCTAATTCTAATGTTTTTTTTTTTGTGTTTTTCTAATTTTAAGATTTGATTAAAAAATATTTTTAAAACAATTAAAAATAAATAAAATAATAAAAGGGTTAAAGAAATTAAAACAAAAATTAAAATGGGCCTGATGCTGGCAGCAATTTGGGGGGTGTGAATTAGAATTTTTCAGGCCCAGAATAGCTGGCACATCTTCCTGGCGCGTGATCTAGTGAGGCTCTCATCTGGGAGTTCACCATGCTCCTAGCTTGCTGTATGTTGGATCTGATCAGTGGATGGATCTGATGGTTGAGATCAGGGGTGTATGGTGGAATCCTAACTATGAAGCAAGCTGGATCTGAAACAAGAAAATTAGAAAATAGAAAATTTCTGGACCTGGGATCGAACCCATGCCCTTCCTCTCACACACGCAACGCATGGACCAACTGTGCGAGAAAGCTTATTTTTCAATATAATAAACAAAATAAAATATAAGCCAAACAAAGTGGCATGCCTAGAAAAACGCGAGTGGGTTCAAATCTCCCAATGGAAGGCTGCCACCTAATTGTCTTCTCCCTGGAAATGTCGCCCTAGGGACTGAGCTTTTACCTACAGACGGATTCGTCACTATAGGCTATAGTGACAGTCCTTGTGCGTGACTACAAACCTG